TGAACAAGTTTTTGATCGACTGGCAAAAATGAACTTAAAAGTAAAAGCTAAAAAGTGTTCGTTTTTCAAACCGGAAGTGAAATTCCTGGGTCATGTCGTATCAGCGAACGGAATAAAAACGGATCCTGTAAAAACAGAGGCAATTAAAAATGCTGCAAGACCAACAAATGTGAGCGAGTTACGAAGTTTTCTAGGGTTGGTGTCCTATTATAGGAAATTCATCAAAGATTTTGCAAAAATAGCAAGGTGCTTACATGCACTAACAAGCAAAGAAACAAAATGGGAATGGACAGATGAATGTGATCATGCCTTTCATACACTGAAAGAAAAACTTGTGAGTGCTCCGATTCTTGGATATCCAGATCCAACTGCTGGTCAATTTATCCTTGATACCGACGCAAGTAATAGTGCTATTGGCTGCGTGTTATCTCAAATTCAGGAACACAGTGAAAAAGTAATAGCTTACGGAAGTCGTGCGTTGACTACAGCAGAAAGAAATTATTGTGTTACGCGTAAAGAAATGCTTGCAGTAGTCTATTTCATGAAATACTTTAAACATTACCTGTTGGGAAAAGAATTCGTGTTACGCACAGACCATGGATCTCTCACTTGGTTACACAGATTCAAAGAGCCAGACGGACAGATATGTCGATGGCTACAGCAAATAGGACCGTTCAATTTTAAAATTGTTCATCGTTCAGGAAAGCGACATTCTAATGCAGACGGCTTATCTAGAATCACTGTAACTTCAGATGAAACAGTGTGCAGACAATGCAAAAGAAAATTAGACGACGAATATAACGGAGTCCCGGAAAGTCACATTAATGATTTGCGTAAAACCCAGTGCGAGACAGATTTGTGTATTGACCAGGCTATATGTGATATTCATCATTTGTTTACCACAAGTGAAGGTGACAACAATCAGCCAACAGGAAAAGGACGGACAGAAAATAGACCCAGACGAGCTAAGCCGCAACCTGAGCCCGATGTTGATTTAACATACTCTGGACTTAGAAAAAGTCAGATTGAGGATAAGGTAATCGGATTTATTCTTAGTTGGATTGAAAAATATGGGAATAAGGACAAGCCAAAATTTGACGCTTTATTTCATATGCATCCTGAAAGTCGATTTTGGTATGGACGATGGGAGTTACTTACCATACATGAGGGAGTACTGTGTATCAAGTGGATAAAGGGTGATACAATACGATTGCGGATCTGTACACCGAAGACATTGAGAAATGCTTTGTTGTGGCACTTTCATGATTCGCCTATTTCTGGACATCAGGGAATTCTTAGAACCAAGAAAAGAGCGGATTTGAGTTCATATTATTGGCCTAATTTTCATCGTGATGTAGGCGACTATGTCAAATCATGTCATATCTGTGAGGAAAAGAAAAATCCACAGAAAAAGAAGAGGCATTTCATGAAAAGTTATATAGCGGGTGGACGATTTGAGAGAATAGCAGCTGATCTAGCAGGACCATTCCCAAGTCTGAACACGGAAATATGTATATATTAGTAGTAGCGGATTATTTTTCAAAATACACAGAAATTTATCCAATACCTAATATGGAGGCCGAAACAGTAGCGGACGCTATATTTCGGGGATGGATAAAAAGGTACGGATGTCCGTTAGAAATTCATACGGATCAGGGTAGTCAATTCGAGAGCCAATTATTTTCACAGCTCTGTGAAATAATGTGTATCTCAAAAACTCGAACAACAGCTTTTCATCCAAGATCAGACGGGATGGTAGAAAGACTTAATCGGACAATCAAAGAAATGCTATCTAAGTTCGTGAACTTACCTTAAACAAATTGGGATAAATACATAGATGCTGTAAGCATGGCGTACAACACTTCAGTACACGAGACTACAGGAATTACGCCATACCGTATGATATTTGGAAGTGAAATGACAATTCCAGTGTCTGTGTTATGTGATTTTACTGATTTTCAAAATGAGGATATAATGTGTTATACGGATTATGTGACAAAGTTGTGTGAAAGTCTGGAAAAAGCTCATGATTTGGCCAGAAAGACAACCCTATCTTCAATAGCAACGCAAGGAAAACAGTATAACAAGAATATTATAGAAAAGAATTATGAAGTGGGTGACGTGGTACGACTTTACCAACCTAAACAGAAGAAAGGCACAAAACTGAAACTATCCCGAAATTGGACTGGTCCTTGGGTTGTGCTGAAACGCCTAAGTAACATCCTATTCCAAATTCAGCATTCGAGGATGTCAAAACCAAAGATTGTGCATGCGGATAACTTAAAGCCATTTCGCACAAGGAAAACAATACAGCGTAATTTAGAGACATTAGTAAAGCAAACTCTGAAAAACAGCAAAGATCAAATTATTGAGGAGCCTGATATTACCCCTGTCCCAAAGCAAACAGATTTTAGTGCAAAGGACTCCGAGAAATTACTAGAACCCCAAAGACGAAGTTCAAAGGACGCCGCCGACAGTGACCGCGATGCAGCTGGGGAGGACCGCGACAGTAGCCAGACAAGAAATACCCGAACTCCAGACAGACCCTCGATGCGGACCAGAGCCGGGCGCCTTATAAAAGTGCCGCGTAGACTCAGAGACTGATCATACCCTATTCGGATGTTTGACAGTACAGATGATTTGTGAAACTTGTGGACTAGTACTTAAGAATAGAAAAACGCTTCAACAACATATAAAAGAAATTCATAGCGAACGTGTAAATATATTTCACTGTGATTTTCGTGGAAGACCATTTTCCAGAAAATTTAATCTAAAGAAACATTTGAACCGTGTGCACGGAAAACTTGATCGGGTCCGTCATATTTCTCCCCAGGATGCTGGACATAACAGGTGAAGACCTCTGCCAAGGATGAACTTTGGTTGGTGTCCGTGGAGGCAAAAAACTTTTGGAGGCATGTGGCAGTCAGGAAGTTTCATTTAATAGTGGCCAGATGGCACATTTAGTAGAGCACCTGTCTTAGAGTTTAGTGGACCTGGGATCGAACCGTGATCTTGTCCTTTCTCTCTTGCTGTTATAAACACATTTACATCTTCCTTTGTTTGCACGTAAATTACATTTTGTAGCCTAGTAATCATTGAAAGGAAGATGTTTAGTTAATATCCTCCAATGTGATTCAATTGCAACATATGCGCCATTATCTAAACAAAATTTAATTTATTCTATTTAAAAAAAGTTCTCTCTCTTATATTGACCTTTTAATTTCTTGGTTATTTTTTAAACAACTCTTTGAGGGGGCGTGGTAGTTGATAGTGCCACCCGGCTGAAAATGTATACTTGTGCCACCTCAAAGTGAAATTGCTTCCTATGGGTCTGTCTGGCTGTACTTGATGTCAGAAACGATGCTTTTTTTGCAATCTAATCAAAAGACAAAAATGTGCCTTTTTCTTGGCATTTTTCCAATGGGAAACACAGAGCGTAGCTTTGAACAAGCAAATTTTTTTCTGTCGGTAATTAGTCTTGGATAGATAGATCTTTAGTGAAAATATAAATTTTGTTCAAGTCTGCACTCAATACTTTAAGAAAGAAGAACTGCTTGAAAGTAAGCAATTTTATACAAAATATACTAAAATGGCAAGAAAAGGTGAACTTTATGATGTCATATTTCTTAATTAATGGCATTTTGATCAAAATAAAAATTACTAATAAACGTTACGAGTATAGCTATGCAAAGCAAAGCTATGTATATTATAAAGATGAATATTCATTTTGAGGGACCATTTGAGACACATATAGTTCTTTATTTCATGACCACAAATTGGTAAGATACCCTAATCTTAACCTTTTAAGCCTCAGTTGAATAAGCTTGTGCCATGACTAACATATTGGTCAGAAACTATCTATCCACCAACATCTTTGCTGTAGAGAATAGAAAGTTAAAGGTTGACAACAGATAACTTTCCATAAAAAGTAAAAATAAAAAATTTTGCAACACTGTCTTAATCTCTTAAAAAGTCAAAATCTGATGATTACTATTTTCAAGTAAAGTTAATAAATACAGTACAATTTTCTGTGTATACTCTCTTTGACTTCATTTGCTACCAAGTATTCCTCTGTTGAATGCACACTTATAGAAGATGTACATACAATTTCATAATGGAAGAAGATTACACGAGGCCAATGCTCATCTGAGTAACCTTGACCTCATTCTCAAGATTTGTCTTATTCATTCCAAAGTGAAACCGAGATCTCCTGTTGGAGCCACACCCTTGTCCCGGGTGGGGGGTGGGGTATTGACTTCATCAAACTTAAATCTATGCCTCATGGGAATGGTTGTATATCAATTAATACAACTAATTATCATCATAGTGTTAACCAGATTTTGAAAAAAAAATTCCCAGTACCTGTGTAGTTCCAAGTGAAGTTCCAACTCCCATCTTAGCCCTCTGGGCTATAACTCGACCAAACTTATATATATACAACAACGGTATTCCAACATTTCAATATGACTGAAACTCTAGATCTGCAGTTTTTTAAAAAAGATTTCCCATATGTATACAGCATTCCTATGTCAAGCTTTAGTCTACTATTGTGACTAAATCCTAGCCCCCGAGTCCATGATTTGAACAAAATCAATGCAAGATCCTATTTATTTACTATGTCCAGTTCTAGCCCCTCTATTCTTGAGAAAACTTTTAAAGATCTTTTTTTTCTATATCTTCTAATATAAACAAATTTGAACCTTCACTTATTAAGAAAGCTTTCATAAATTTCGCAAATTTTGTCTTCTGTATCCAAGTGGTGCTCAACAGATTATAAAATGACACCATCCTATTTTCACTATTTCTAAATTATCTCCCCTTGAAAGGGATCTGGCCCTTTAATTTCCTTTAACCAAGGAAGCTTTGTGGCAAGTTTGCTTTGAATGGCCCAGTGGTTCTTGAGATGAGGTCGAGTGTAAAAAAAAAAAAAATGACAAAAGACACATTGACACAAACTTTGATTAGAAAAGATTGCTTGAGCTGTCAGTTCACAAAAAAAATTTAATTTGAAGACTTTTTAATGACAGTTAAGAATAATACATGAAAAGTACTTGATTTCTTAAAAATATACACGAGAATGATTATGCAACATAAGTCTATGAGTATCATTACACTTCACTATTTGTGAAATCCTTTTAGTTATCAGTGATTTCTTTCAAATGAATAGAAAAATATTTACAAGGTATGTAAAAAGTCAGATGAAGCAGATTCTTAATAAAACAGCATTGAACTACAACATTACCCACTATACTTTGTGAAAAAACATAAAAAGAAAAATTTAAAAATGCTAGTTATAAAAATGCTTCTGCTGTCAGCTGAGACCAAAAAAAATGATATGCTACACAGCCTGCACTCCATTTCTGCAGGGCTTGGATCAGGGCTGGTTATATCCTGCGTTATAAGGTGATGGTGTTGATACTGGACTCATCATTGCTGTCTGTTGTTGGGCAACTACTGTGGTACCACCTGTGAATGGAAATATATCTTGTACATTTTTTTTCCCATAAAAGTTGAACAAATAATTCAGATAATAAGTTTTACCAAACTTTAAGAAAATATAGCAAAAGTTGTGCATATCATCTAAATCTTTATCCTAAAGTGTTGTTTTTTGCATAAATTTAAAAACAACAACAAGAAATTTAAATTAAAAAAATAAACAACAACAAAAACAGAATCAGAAGTCCCCAACAAGGCTGTAGCTCTACTGGTTTCTACTTAATATAACAAAAGTAGAGAAAGGTTGCACTTGGACTTAAAACTATGGCAACAGCTAAAAATAAAATTATGATCCTTGGTTTAGTCTCTTTCTGAGTAAAGTTTATTTGCAATTGGAGAAAAAGTGTAGTAAATGTAGGTATAACATTTTTAAAGAATTTTCCAGAAATTTCAATTTTTAGTGACTATGGCAACATCGTTCATCCAAATCAAAAACTGATCAGTTAACATCCCTATGCTCCTTCATATATACCACAAAGCCTAGTCAAGAGTATCTTGCATTGAACCTCTAGCATGATTGAGTGTTGAGAATCCCTTAGCCCATCCCTCTTTAAGGTGGTATGGGATACCAAACGAAACTTCTCCTACATATTTATGTACCCATATTAGAAGGATTTGAAATACGCCCACCTTTCAGTATATTAAAGTGTAATTTTAATAATTTTTTTATTATTTTAATGAGAAATACAAAAACGATTTATTTTCTTGCATAATTCTTTTTCATAAGCTTAATATTATAGGCAGGCGTTTGCTAATATAAAGTGTTTATAAAAACAAAAATGACAAGAAATATGTCTTAGTATTTTTTTAATTTTCAACAAAAAATAAGCGTAAAAAACTGGGAAAACTTTATTTCTTGAAAACAGACGGATAACATTTCATGAAAGTCTACAATAAGAATGTATCTTAATATGTTAGCAAAGTGAAATAAACAAATTGAAAATATATATATAAATGGAAAATATAAAATGCATTTAAAATTTTTTGAATTAAAAGATCCGAGCGGAAGAGTTATCCTTCTTTATTTTCCAAGGGTTGAAAAAACCTGGGTGCTATTTTAGAAATGATGAGCATTTTTTTCCCAACCATAAAAAAATCGCACTTTGTAGTTTTCAACTTTGAACGGTTTTGAAAACAATGCATGGACAATCGCTTTCCAGGACGTGTCTTGTTCAGAGCAATTGCATTCATCTGAACGTTTTGGGACTACATATGTATATACAACAGCTAGCTGATTTGTGACCAAACAGTTACTTCTTGAATTAAATAACAAAAAAGTCCAGCTCTGGTTAACGTGATAATTGATTGGTGATAATTCAGCACAATGTGAAGTAATCGCACTTATCCATGCCTCACCGCACACAAGGTGCTGTACAGTTACTCAAACAATTGAAATACAGCTTTTGCTTAAAAGTGTTCAAAAGCAGCAATGTTGAAACTACCTTTTACAGGGGTTTGCTTTTTTAAATGTCCGTTGTACAATTATAAGTAAATTTATATACTTGCGATTTTTTTGTCTGTTTTTACTTAAAATGCCGACTTGTGAGAACTTGCATTGAAATAGGCTTCAGAGTGTTCTTTTCAACGGTGTATCTACAAATTTTGACCCGATAATAAGCACTCATGCAAATCAAAACAATACTTCAAACGGAAATACGTCATAACGTAGAGGTATCCCATACTACCTTAAGCCACGATTCAAACAAATTGAATCTACTTTAATCACCTACTGGGGCCCTCCTCTACCTCTTATGGACTTTATTAGAGGAAATGAATTAGCAATACTGTAAACCAACTTTTATTCGCGAGTTTCGCAACCTACCTTTACTCGCGTATATTTCTCGTCGTGAACAAATTATTCACCTATGTATCTATGCAGAATGTTGCCTCGGTCCTGAAAATTAGTGGTCGCGGATGGAATCCAAACTGAGGAATTGTGAATAAAAGATAGTCGCGAATAATAGATGGTTTAAAGTATCTTTAAATGCTTAGTCAATGACTAACCATAACCTAATCATAGCCATGTGCTGTTCCTGAAAAGAAATGTTTTAAAAAAATTTGTTGCCATATATTTCAAGTAAATATTCAATCCTACATTGTGGCCCAACCCTAGTCCCATGGCATACTTCGTATGGATTCTACACTACATGGAAAAGTTAACAAACTTATATAACTATTTGTGATCCTAAGAAGAAGCTTTTTTGATGATTCCTTCTTTATCTCTATGTTAATCTTTAATCTCCATATTGTGAACTCAACCTAGCTCCTATGGCTATGATTTGAACAACAAACTTGAATCAAAACTTGTTAAGAAGCTACTACTGCAGTTGTCTTTGCTAACTATTTGGTTCTTGAGAGGAGACCTAACCCTACCCTTTTTTCTTCTCTTGCCATTCTGATTTTGAATTTGTTTAACCCAAGATTGCTTTGTGACAAGTTTGGCAGAAATTGGACTGGTCATGAGTATGTTTTTAAGGATTAGAATGGGAAATGTTCATAGATAGCACATGACAGACAGACATACTGAGGCTTTTGGCTCAGATAAGCTTAAAAAAACATACTCTGTATGTCCCCCAAAACTTACAAGTCTCAGAGGAAACCTGCATAGAGTTTTTAAAATAGAGAATGGTTATCAACTTGCAAAGTCAAAGTCACAAGGCAATACAGTATATCTGTAAGTTACTACATAAAAAAACTTCAGAAAAAAGAAAAATTCACAGATCATAATCTAGAGGCTCTTTCATTACATAAACAAGACAGGGTTTCTTTTTTTAATTTTTACCTGTTGGCATTCCTTGGACGATGACGGTATCACGTTGTCTACCACAGCATGCTCTGCAGCAGCAGACACAACAGCCAACACACAGCACCACAATCCCAATAGATACCACAATAGGGACCCACCTACAATACAAAAAACGTAAGTATTGTCTTAAAGCACCATAATCCCAATAGACACTACAATAGGGACCCACCTACAATAAAAAAAAAACAAACAGGTATTGTCATAGACCACCACGATCCCAATAGACACCACAATAGGGACCCACCTACGATACAAAAACATAGGTAGTGTCATAGATAAAGCACCACAATCCTAATAGACACCATGATAAGGGTCCACTTTCAATATAAAAAACATAGGTATTGTCATAGAGCACCACAATCCCAACAGACACCACAATAGGGACCCATGTACAATACAAAAGAGCATGGGTAATCACAGACTACAAAACACCACAATCCCAATAGACACCAATAGAACCTACCTACAATACAATAAACAAATAGAACCTACCTACAATACAATAAACAAAGTACTCATTAAGCTCACCTTGATACTTCAACTAAGTTTCATAAACTTTTCAAAAATCTCCTCGAGGAACCCTATCTAATAAGAATGTTCAGCAAGATCATTTTGTTACTTGTAAGTTAATCATGGTTATAGGCCTTTATTGACACTTCTGAAAATATAAATCACTTGCAGCATCTTAACTAAGACTGTTAGGACAATACATATTTCTATATGCATCATTCATGTAGACATACATATAGTTCCTTGCAAATTAACTCCAAGTCTGTAGTTCACTGGTCTAAAAAAAATTGAGATGAGTGATCAGAGAATGACTGTCATCCATCCCAATTGTTCAGACCAGTGAGCTACAGATGCCAATGGACCAGCTCCAAAAATTTAAAGCTGCTAACTCAAAAAAAAAATAAAGGTCAGCTGCAGATAAAAAGCAAGTCATCCTTAGATCATCATGCAATATTATCCATCTGTGTTGCATGAGAGGTATTTAGGAATGGACCTGCTCTGAAAGTTTTGAACTTCTTACTTCTTCAGCATCCAAAGCAAGTCTGGCGGTGCGCATCCCCTAGATGCATAATCTCATATGCAAGTTTTGTCACTGTAGGCCTTCTTATTACTTGAGAAATTGATTCACTCAAATATCAAGGGATGTCAATGTGAGGAAAGAACCTCAGAGCATTTTACTCATTATCTTAAAAGATACCACATAGGTATTCACTGACAAAGGAGCACAACACAACAGTCCAGACAGGCACAAGAATATATACTTACCTGAAAAGAAATAAACATAACTAACAATCTGATACCATGCTATATTGGGGGTGCAACAATATACCAATGTACATATGTACACTGATACGAAAAATTTGTACTGTATCATGGTACAAAAACTGTATACCTGTGTATCACGATATAAAACATTTGAAGTAATTTATGTTATTTCTTTTTAGATCAACCTGATAAAAAAGTTTTCTTCCTTATTTACTAATGCTGTTTTTATTGTGTTCGGAGCTTATTTAAATGTTACATAATGATGTGTGAACTTGATAAAATCTAAAACTTTTATCCTTTCACACTGTAAAAGAGAATTTCTCATTTAAGAACAGAAATGTATACAAATTTTATTAAAAATATGAAAGGTAAATTATTGTGGTATGTATTATGATACAGTCCCAGTGTATCGTGATCTACCATGATAAGCTCTAGCCATATTGTTTAAAATACCCCTAGCATGAACTCGGATGTAGAGTCTTATAAATCAAAACTTAAGACATTATCATATCATCAAAACAAGAGGCCCATGGGCCACATTGCTCACCTGAGCACATTGGCTAGGCAAAACCACAAATCAGTTCAGTATTGAAAAGGTTACCGGGGGGGGGGGGGGGGGGGGGGGGGGGGGGGGGGGGGGCTGATGATGCTTTCATGTCAATATAACAAATGGCTTTGTTGTACTTGAGTAAATTTTGAAAAAATTTCCCCATATAATCCTTTGTAAAAATTTGATCCCCCATTGATCCCCCATTGTGGCTCCTCCCTATCCCAGAGGTCAATATTTGAACAAACTTGAATCTACACTACCTGAGGATGCTTCCATATCAATATGACTAAACATAGCTTTTCTGTTCTCGAGAAGAAATATTTTTTCTGCATGTTCTTATGTAAAACTTTCGATCCCCGATTGGGCCCCACCCTACCCCCGGGGTCATCATTTGAACGAATTTGATTTACACTATCTGAGGATGCTTCCATATCAAAATGACTAAACATGATTTTCAGTTCTTGAGAAGAGGATATTTTCCTATTTGTTCCTATGTAAAATTTTCGACACCCTAATGTGGCCCATCCCTATCCCCGGGGGTCATCATTTTAACAAACTTGAATCTACACTACCTGAGGATGCTTCCATATCAAAATGACTAATCATGGCTTTGCAGTTCTTGAGAAGAGGATATTTTCCTATTTGTTCCTATGTAAAATTTTCGACACCCCATTGTGGCCCATCCCTATCCCCGGGGGTCATCATTTTAACAAACTTGAATCTACACTACCTGAGGATGCTTCCATATCAAAATGACTAATCATGGCTTTGCAGTTCTTCATCAGAAAGATATTTTCCTATATATTTCTATTTAAGACTTTGATCCTCCATTGTGGCCCCACCCTACCCCAGGGGGTCATGATTTGAACAATCTTGAATTTATACTATCTGAGGATACTTCCACATAAATATGAACAATCAGGGCTTTGCTGTTCCTGAGAAGAAGATTTTAAAAATTTTTCCTATATATTTTTATGTAAAACTTTGATCCTCAATTGTGGCCCCGCCCTACCCCCAGGGGTCATGATTTGAACAAATTTGAATTTTTACTACCTGAGGATGCTTCCATATAAATATTACCAATCAGGGCTTTGCTGTTCTTGAGAAGAAGATTTTTTAAAGATTTTTCCTATATATTTCTATGTAAAACTTTGATCCTCCATTGTGGCCCCGCCCTACCCTCGGGGGTCATGATTTGAACAAACTTGAATCTTCACTACTTGAGGATGCTTCCATATAAATATGACTCATCATGGCTTTGCTGTTCTTGAGAAGAAGATTTTTAAAGGTTTTTCCTATATATTTCTATGTAAAACTTTGATCCTCCATTGTGGCCCCGCCCTACCCCCAGGGGTCATGATTTGAACAAATTTGAATCTACACTACCTGAGGATGCTTTCATATAAATATGACCAATCAGGGCTTTGCTGTTCTTGAGAAGAAGATTTTTTTTTATCAAGATTTTTCCTATATATTTCTATGTAAAACATTGATCCTCCATTGTGGCCCCGCCCTACCCTCAGGGGTCATGATTTGAACAAACTTGAATCTACACTACCTGAGCATGCTTCCATATAAATATGATTCATCATGGCTTTGCTGTTCTTGAGAAGAAGATTTTTAAAGGTTTTTCCTATATATTTCTATGTAAAACTTTGATCCTCCATTGTGGCCCCACCCTACCCCCGGGGGTCATGATTTGAACAAACTTGAATCTACACTACCTGAGGATGCTTCCACATGAGTTTCATCTTCCCTGGCTTTGTGGTTCTTGACAAGAAGATTTTTAAAAGATGCTATTAATTTTTCACTAATTCTTTATTATCTCCCCTTGAAAGAGGGCATGGCCCTTCATTTGAACAAACCTGAATCCCCTTCACCCAAGGATACTTTGTGGCAAGTTTGGTTGAAATTGGCCCAGTGGTTCTTGAGAAGAAGATGAAAATGTGAAAAGTTTACGACAACAACGACGCCGACAACGACAGACAACGGACAAATTTTGATCAGAAAAGCTCACTTGAGCCTTTGGCTCAGGTGAGCTAAAAAGAAAGAAGAGTTCTTAAAATAGCATCATCATTTAGTGAAAAAAATTTCAAGGTCTATCTTCAGCAGTCTCCATTTCCTTAAATGTTATATCCCAATCACCCACATTTTGGAGATCAAAGTCAACTACTGGTAATAGTTAGTCTCCCCTTCCCCTCCCAATCTGCATAAAAAATATGATTTTGTTAAGGTACTGTGATGTAGAGAACTACTTTAGTTTTAAAAAATTTTCCTGTCTCTAATTCTAAAGCTTAATTAATACATATTGAAAGATTAATCTCATACAATTTTAATTATATCTTTAATTTTCTGAAGAAACTTTTAACTTTTTTCTATGACACAGTGTATACTGATTAAAGTAATAAACAGCAGTAATGTTCACGAGGAGATGTATACTTACACATAGGCACTGAACCAGGCACCACAAAAAGGAAGTCGGTCCTCAGTAGGGGCCTGCAAGGCTTGTTCACTGCAGCAGTATGTAGTCTGTAGGGTGACACAGCAGAAATCGCTACACCACTTCTCATCTGTGTCGCTCGTCAATGGATTACGGATTCTACAGCATTCTCCACATTCTCCCTGTCCTAAGGTAGAAACAAGAGGCCCATGGACTATTGTGCTCACCCAAGTCAATTCAATATTACATTTTCTAAATATTTTTGTTTTTTAAAATATGCAATTTTAGCACTTACCTAACCATAGGGTTCCATACTCCATAGAATTAAAAAAAAATCTCAACTTTGGACTATTAAAAGATTTTTTATCTATATCTGCCAATTTCAAAACTTGTATACATTGGGAAAATTTTTTTTTGATGTCTCAAAAAACCTTAAATTTATCGTGAAAAACAAGTAAACAATTATATACCTGCATGATTGTAGTAAAATATGCAAGCTTAATCATGAACCTGTTGATTTTTTAACTGCCACTAATCTGTATTAAATGGAATTTTAAATTGATAATGCAGTTTCGATATTTCGTAAAAATATTTTAGTATATTATTCTTAAACATAAATGAAAAAATATTCCATGACTAATTTGACATCTAGTATATAGTTCATTTTCAACATAATGTATCTGCCATATTTCCTAAAGAAAAAATTTCAAAGACATTGACTGAAGAACAATTAAGGGTTGTCTGAGAAAAAAAAATATTCCAATATTTTTTTTTCATTAATATTATGAAGTTAAAAATTGGCATGCACCATAATCAACAATTATTCAAATACAACATAGAAATTTTAACAAGAGGCCCAAGGGCCTTAATGGTCATCTGAGTATAAAACAACAATCCATGGAAGAAAATAAACTGATAGAAGAAGCTTTTGTAAATCTTTGTTTGTCCATTGTGGCCCCACCCTATCCCCAGAGTCATGATTTGAACAAACTTGAGTCTACTCCACCTGAGAATGCTTCCATATAAATATGACCAATCATGATCGACTTAGCTGTTCCGGACAAGATTTTTAAAGATTTTTCCTACATATTTCTATGTAAAACTTTGATCCTCCATTGTGGCCCCACCCTACCCCCAGGGGTCATGATTTAAACAAACTTGAATCTACACTACCTGAGGATGTTACCACATAAGTTTCATCTTTCTTGGCCCAATGGTTCTGGAGAAGAAGATTTTAAAAGATTTTTTTTCAATGTATTTCTTTGTAAAATTTTTATCCTCCATTGTGGTCCCACCTTACCCATGGGGGTTATGATTTTGACAAATTTGAGTCTACACTACCTGAGGATGTTTCTATATAAGTTTCATCTTTCCTGGTGCAGTGGTTCTTGAGAAGAGGATTTTTAAAAGATACCATGAATTTTTCACTAATTCTTAATTATCTCCCCTTGGAAGAAGGCATTGTCTCTTCATTTGAACAAACTTGAATCATCTTTACCCAAGGATACTTTGTGGCAAGTTTGGAGGAAATTGGCCCAGTGGTTCTTGAGAAGAAGTCCAAAATGTGAAAAGTTTACACACAATGCACAACAGACAAAAACAGATAGCAATAGGTCACCTGCGTGACTCAGGTGACCTATTAAAATATAGCTAGAAAAAATATTTTCCACTAAGTTAAACAAATCTTACATAATAGCTGTCAGTTCAACATAAATATGTCAAAATGTCAATGCCTCTTTTCTTTAAAATATTAAATATGCAATTGATGCAGAAATTTGACATCACAATATTTTCAGTTTAATAACCAAGGTAGACATCTTGAACATACAAAAATCATCCAATGACTGCAGAATTAATTGAGTAGCAATTTCTTGAGAGTGCAGTTAAACTCTACATAAAAAGTCCAGCTGACCTGACCTTTCAGTTTGTCACATATTTTTGGTCTACCAAGAGCCTCTTTCATTAGGTACCCAGTCCAGTCATCACTGGACCTCTTTTACCAGGTATAACCAGTGTCCCAAACACATTTTTGTGCTGTTTCATCGTTTCCATCTCTTTTCCTATATGGATAAGTCATACGAAAAAGCCCCTGAGGTATGGATGGTGTATACCCCCCCCCCCTTTCCCCATGTTCTGAGATATTTTTTAGGACATGATAACTTATCAAAAACACATGAATTCCTAGCATATCTTGTCTGATATTATTTTCTGTTTAAAACTTTTTATCAAGTTTAACAGATTACCTCTCCACCTGTATACAAAATTACTAAAGATCAACACAGAAACCAAGCTTTGTTTAAAAAAAAAGTGACCCTAGGCACTTTGAGGATGAATTTCAAAATAATTTAATACAGCATTACAAATGGAATTTAAGCTAAAGGCAGATCAGGTAGGTAATGTTCTACATGCCTCTTCCATTTAAAGTCAAAATGATTCATTTGTCCTTAAATAACTTCCAGATTTAGTTCATTTTCTTTCCATCGGCAGCAAATTGGGAGGATATCATGTGAGAATTTTACATAATGAAAAGAGGTGTTTTGAAACAAAGATGTCCCCAAAAGGTAGCTCAAGGTTATAGTCTTTCAAAAGTGGGTCAAACTTCAAGGTCAATGTCATGGGGTAAAAAATGTTCAAACTCAGAGAACAATTTTGTCAAAAACGAATACACATGTGAAATATAAAAGCCCTAGAATCAACAATTCAGAAGTAATGACCAAAGTTTTTCAAAATTAGGTCAAACTCAAGGTCAAGGCTTTGAAGTCAGAAGTGATGGTACTCGAAGAAAGGTCTTGTCACAAGTATCACACAAGTGAAATATGAAGGCCCTAGCACCAAAAGTTTAGAATTAAGGGCCAAAGTTAAAGTCTTCCAACAGTAAGATAAACTCTAAGGCCAAGGTCATGAGGTCAAAAATGTTGGTATCTAAAGAAAGGTCACAAAGAAAACACAAAGAAAACACGTGAAATATAAAAGCCATACATAAAACCATCAAAAGTTATGGTCAGGGTTCAAGTTTTTGTAGACAGACAACCGAAAACTATATGCCCTTGAATCTCAAAGGGGCATAAAAATCCCATGATCTGCCAGTCAGACACTTTCAACTATTCTGGCCCCTCATATATTCTTAGAATTGAAATTTTTATCTGTACCCTTTTTTTCATGTTGCACATCCACAACCCCAACCTATTTTCACTTTCTAAATGACCTACCCTTGAAAGGCACATCACCCTTTATTTAAATAACTTGAATCTTCTTCCCACAAACATACTTTGTGGCAAATTTGGTTACCACACATAATATTGGTCCGGTGGTTCATAAGAAAAAGTCTGAGATATAATACATTAAGCTTACAGCTTAGGTGAGCTAAAAATAATCTAATGTCTTATTTGAGTTAAAGTATAAACTAATACATCTGTAAAGTCTGGCAAGATATGCACAAGATACACACTTTCAAAACAAATACACAGACTTACAAAGTCTTTCACATGAGGGATAGTTTAGCTTGGAAAAGGTATTGGCAAATTAGTTTACAAACTGAATCGTTTTTTATATTTTTCTTCTTTCTTAATGTCTGGATAGCTCTCAAGTACAGTATTCCAATCATTTTTTTTTAACTTAATAATTGTCTCCATATTGCTATTAATGTCATTCATATGAATTGAAAATGAGAAATGTTCACAAATCGACCAAAAAAAAAACTTTACGCGCGTTCGCAAGTTTCACGTTTCAGATGCAGTTTCTTTGTTTAAAACTACAGTGAGCATGGTGAGAGATCATTCTAGTTAATAGTTAAATTAATGATCAAATAAGCACTTACCAAATAAACAAATAACCGCAACAACCAAAATCCCAAAATATTGCATGTTCAACTTCATGTCTCCGTCTAAATGTGACTGTAATCTGCACCAACCTAGATATTTTATGCTCGAATGCACACGGAGTTTTATCGCCCTCGTCACAGCGAGGCTTCGGTTTTCCCGTTTTCAGAAAATGACCTAGTTCTAAGAAATAGATTTGATCCTCTGGTATTTAGGAACTTAAAGTTAAAGTCCTTTCACTAGGGATGGTATTTATTTGCTGATAAAGTTAATAAATTTTGTAAAGGTAGGTCTAGTGATATGTTGTGTATATATAGAGTTATGATATGTCTATGATTCTTAGTACATTATTAGCTAACTGGATAGTTCCAGACAAAGATGGTATAATAATTATTGCACATTTCCCCTACAAAAACATAGTTCCGCAAACTCCTCCTAAATTTTACGCAGTTGTCAATATTCATCTTTTTTTGAATATTAAGGTGGTATCATATGTAGATGTCCAACGAAGTTTCCGATTTTTTTTTTCTTTTCATTTTCAGCTTGGAGGCCCAAATGGTTGATTATAGTATTTGACGCCGCGTCGGCAGTTTGGAGGAGGCGAAATGGGGTCCAAAAAACTATAAGCTACCATACACAACTCTTAACAATTTTTATGCATTATATAGCCAATCATATTTTAGAAATATGACTGGTGGTGTCCTATAAATATTCAATATGGTTTCGTAATTTCAAGTTTCATCCAACTAGGCAAAAATTGAATTAAACACACAGACACACACACAAAACAATTTTCCAAAACGCCTTCTTAAACGGAATGTATATATGCTTCATTATTTTTTTTTAAATTAAATTTCAGACTGGTGAACTGCTAACATAAAAAGGCCAATGGGCGTCATAAGTTTAACGCTCAATTTGTATGAAAATAATGGAACAAATATTGTGACTTCTGCACTAAAACGTATCTATGTACGGGTACATTACTGTTATATGAATGTGCACATGCATGAGGGAGTTAAGCGCGTGAATCGTACTGCACAAGAACTTACAGTTATTTACACCTATTAATTTTGGTACACACAAGATATTGAATGTTTGGTCATTGTACATTGCATTTTTTCATATTTAATCAATCGTTTTATTATCAAATGACTATTTTCTCATTATATTGATTTTATTACATATAGTTGTTTTTTAAGGGATGGCAATATGTTACAGTTACTTAGAGTCACAGTTCAGTTTTGCATTACCAAAAATCGATATTGCATTACCGATTTTTTTTTCTTATCAATACCGAAAATATATCATTACCGAAAATTTAACAGTTATTTCCGGAACAAAATACCGCATTTCTGAAAACGATTGATCTTTAATACCTCTCCCGTTATCCAGGTGGTACTATTGCCCCATTCTCGTCATGGAAAGGTGAAAAGAATTTCAGCAGGATAGTTTTAATGAATTTTATTTAAAAAAATCAGCATCAATTTAAAATAAACATATTGAACGCTTATAATCCACGGCCGTAGGAACCGGGGGGGGGGGGGCACAATTTTGCCGATATATAAATTACTATAGTAAACTTAGATACTATATGCTTGTGCCCCCTCAAAAAAAAAACCGTTTGATGACCTTTTTTTTTTGTTTTGTTTTGTTTTCTTTTTCTTTCTTCTTCTTCTTCTTTTTTTTTTTTTTTTTTTTTTGCTTGTCAAGGAATTTTTGGTACTTGCTGACCTTTTTTTTTTTTTTTGCTTGTCGGGAAATTTTTGATATTGCCCCCTCAACTGAAAATGTATGGCTGTGCCCCCCCCCCCCCCAACTGAAATTGCTTCCTACGGGCCTGTAATCAACATGAAAATTCATACATCAGTTGTTGCAGAATACTTGTAGCCTAAAGCGGAATTAATGTAAAGCTGGCATGGACAAGGCTCCGGTGCGCTGTATTTCTGGATGCAATTTAGCGGACATTTACAGCAATACTCGTAATCTCATTAAACAACAAAGATTATGCACTTCATGTAATGCTATTGATGATGAATTTCATTTCTTTTTACAATGTAATTTGAATATACAAGCAAGGAATATACTTATAAAAACCATGTTAGATAATTGTTCCTCATTCTATCTCAAATCACCCATACAGAAACTTGAATATATACTTAGCCCAACAATTGAAGTTATACCGGCTGTTTTCACTTTTATAAAACAATCATTAGAATTAAGAAATAAAAGGTCCACATTGGTGTAACATATAAGGAGTAAATTACTTAAATTGCGCCTATTGTATGAATACATTCATTGTTCTTTGTTTTTTTTCTTATTATGAATTGTATTGCTTGACCCATATGGGTGTATTATGCAATAAAGAATATTTAAATTAAAAATTTCCGGCAATGATGTCTCATATTATTTTGGAAATTACAGAAATAATTTTTGGTAATGATAACTAACCAGTTTTCAACATTTTTGTCATTTTTTTTACATGCTTTTTCAATTACTTTACGTTGACTTTACATTCTTGAATCCCAAACTGATCTTGATTTTGTAAGAAAAAAAGAGTATCATTTATTGTGCTTGCTCCTCCTTTATAGACTTATGTACCTGAAGCCATCTCTGGTGTATCCAGGGGTCCGTGTTATTTGCTTGTTCATGATTCGAATTCTTGACTGCATGGATTTATGAGATTGGTCTCTGTTAGCAGGGACCTATATACTAACTACTAGTATATAGGTCCCTGCTGTTAGTTATCCTTACCTTTTGCATTTAGTTTGCTTTTTTTGATCCTCCTTTTCTATGACAATCAGGTAACATAGTTCATAGGTCAACATATTTAAACCGAAAAAGTGAAAATTAATGTAAGAAAGCAAAGCATTCCATCAATGATTTACAATATATGTTTGAGTTACTGTAAGGATTTTGCTCTATAAAATACTGCTTCTGGATAACTTAACGATCATGTTTTTCCTGGATTCTAGTGGACAAAAGAAAACGAAAGTGAAAATGTTCTATTTAAGTATTTTCTACTAAAGTAGTGGACAGGATGGGCTTGCAATGCGTAAACGGTTTTCCCATTTTTGACCTTTCTTTTTTAAGCAAGACTAAAAATCGACATGACGATTTCCTTTTGTGATATATTGTATGTACATTCAAAACACGAAGCAATTAACATATCAAGCTCACTATTTCATGAACATGAATTAATTTGGTAATCTATTAATTTTGCCGCCAAACCTGTTGACATAGTGCCCTGCATTAATTATATTTATGATGTATACTGCACATAGATTTAAATTGGATTCCTGCCCTGGTATTTTTTAACTGTTTAATTATTCTTAAAAGTTGTTTTCACAAAAGTGTTACTTTATTTTGTCCTATTGTCTTTCACGAGAGATTAAATTACATCAAGGAGTTTTTTTATGCTCCCGTAATCGAAGATTCGGGGTTATATAGTTTTTGCCCTGTCCGTCCGTCTGTCTGTCTGTCTGTTTATCTGTTTGTCTTTAACATTGCCCATAACTGTTGATTGTTGGAGCTATAGCTCTCATATTTGGGTGTTGCTAAAACGCGGAACGAAACGGAAAATTTGATGTCAAGTTTTCACTAGGCACAGGTATAATTCAGACTTATGAAGCAATATTCTTTATCTAATACATGTAAAACATATCTAAAAGTTATCGTAACCATGTGATTTAATCATGATTTTTTTCCTCAAAACATGCGGCATATATACATGCAATGGTCAATAAAATACACATTAATCACATCCCATTATCTATCAAGATGTCTCACTTCATTCGCGGATCTAAGGGGGGGGGGGTCGGGGGGTCCGACCCCCCCCCCCCCGAAATTTGCAGAGTTATGAAATGTACCAACTAAAAGTGAACTTGGACCACCACCACACACCCCCACACCCCCACTCGAAAACGCGGACCCACTCGAAAACGCGGATCTGTATAAAGTTGGTACGAAAAGTCATAAGTATTGAGCTTTAGAAGTCAACGACTCCCCCCCCCCCCTTCCCCGAAATAGGTTTTTCACGATTGGGAAAGGGTTTTACGGGGGGAGGGGTGTTTGGGTTTTTTTGGGGGGGGGGTTTGTGCTTGTCAAGAATTTTCTAGGTTGGAATTTTTTTTCGACTGGGATGGACCTCCCCCCCCCCCCCCCCCTTGGAAAAAATTCCTAGATCCGTGCCTGCACTTATCACTCATCCAAATCTGAATTTTAAAAAATGGCTTATTCGTCAAAGACAAAGTCATCATTATTGATTATAAAAGGTGCAACGTTGTTTTGAAACAGGTGGAAAGAAAGAGCAAAACAGAGAACATATACATTTGTGTTAGAAACAACGATCACTGGCATTAAGGAAGCAATTAAAAAAAAAGTTTATTACAACTACAGGAGTGTTGATGAAATCCACAGGGACCTGAAACGGGGATTGAAGAAAGATAGCATACATGTATATGACCAAATTGTGCAAAACAGCATAAATTGATTGCACGGAATAACGTCAAGATGAAATTGATGGGGAAATGACATATTTTCGAGAAATATAGAGTTGTTATTTATATTTTAGTGGGGGGGGGGGGGTGTTACAGAGACGTACGTTATCCACATCTAAGGTGCATGGGTACATATGCATTGAAAATTATGGAAATTTTTGCTTAAAACATGTTACATGTATATATGTACGGCATTAGATATTTTCTGTTCCGTTTTCCGTACCCTGTGCTTTGTCTATGTTCAGACATCTTCATAAATAAGAGAATGAACATGACTAAATCAACTCGTATTTTAATTATTAAGGATTAAATATGAAAAAAATTATATGATATATACTGTTTCTGGTATTATTTTTATAATTTAAGGGATTTAACCTGGAATCATACTTTCCGTTTTCCGTTCCGTTCCGCTTTCCGTTCCGTTTTCCGTTCTGCGTTTTAGCAACACTCCTCATATTTCTCGTGTGTATTCATTGTGACAAGGCCTTTCTTTGAGTACCACAATATCTGAACTCTTGACCTTGGAGTTTGACCCAATTTTGCAAGAATTTACCCAACTTTAACCTTGGCCATAACTTTTGAACAGTTGGTGCTAGGGCTTTGATACTTCA